AACAACACTAACATGTTTAGACCAGTTTAGTTGATCATCTATCAATACGCCTAATAGACGAGAGTGTGTAACCCATTTGATGGTGTGCTGGGCCAACGTTAACTCTTTCAATGGGCCAGTGAATCTTCCACAATGGAGGATCATTGCTTCGCATTTCTTTGGATGAGGCACAAGGGAGTTTGTTTTGCACCAGTAAATTATTCTACTTAAGTTTTTAGCAGCATCCACTCGTGGCTTGAATACATCTGATGTTGTGCCAGATAAAGAAATGCGACTGTCCCACAGTGTTTGTCCAGTGCAAGACTTTTTGTTTCTGTTTAGACATCTGGAGTGGTATCGCCTTGTTAGTTTCTTTATCCTCGCAGCTTTTATATTCAGCTGCAAGGTTGGCGAGGAAGATTTCTTCGTGATCTATCTTGCTTTCACAGCGGTTACCAAATGTGGACTTCCACTTCTTATTGCCCACCAAATCACGAACAAAATCAGGCATGTCATTTGCATTGAAATGGACAAATTTGCCTGCTGTATCTTGAATGAGATCAATTGTCTTAGCTCTCATGATCTGCGAGGTCTTCTTCCTCTCCTAAGGATGCTAGCGTTTGCAAAATTAATGGTTTTTATTCAAAGTTGTCAACAAAATTTGGGTCCTTCGCATTGTTTTGGAAGGTGCATTTCATTTCTCTAGTTTAAGCCAACAAAACCTTCTGGGTTCAGTGGAAGTCTTTCGGAGGCCCACCTGGCTGTGTTTCCTTCATCCCCCTCAATATTCCTTGTTTTCTTCTCCCTGCTGCAGTGAATTGTACCAAGCTTCTTTTTAGTGGTCGTCTTGTAACTGTTCAGGTGTCTGCTGGCAAATGAGTATATTGCTGATGCAATTCAAGGGATTGTATTGCAAGTTTCACTTCTTTCTCTAAGTTTGTTTTATCTTTGCACTAATTTTCGTAGACCCTGAATTAATTTTAATCGTTACTCATTATCAAAATTATGTCATTGAACACTATTCTCAAGACTGCCAATGTCTTTGCAAGCAATAAGATCAATGTGGCGTCATAACTGCAGTTGAATCAGTGGAGGGTGAATCTTTTGAGCGGTCATGTTCAATTTGCTCTGTTTCTCAGCAAACGCCGTTTTCATCACAGGCAAACCATTCCTGTCTGCCTCATCCACTGTGGCTTTTTAAAGGAGACTTGCATAGAATGATATTGGCTGAGTGTTGCGTTCCCCCAGTGCTAACACTACATACTAGTGTCGCCCTGTTGGTGATGTCAAAGGGACCATAATTCTTGCCTGAAATTGGTGTTTCTTTATTGTAGCAGCTTGGTGTTTGCATAGCTTATTGCACATGCTTATTAGACATAACAACAAAGCATGAGATGTTTCCTCAAAGGCAGTGCCCATTCTGATTTTCTGTACCAAAGTCCTTCAAAGTATTTGACAAGATATGGATATTTGGATGCTATGTTACAGGCAACAAAATTCTGATAAGCATCATGAAGCATCTTTTTCATAAGCCCAGTAATTACTGTCCTGTCATTTGTGGCAAGTTGTTAGTTTCTGCTATTTTCAAAACACTATCGCTGGGAATTATTTCAAAGCCATTTGTGATTCCGTTAATAATAGAGTCCCTGTCACGATGGGTTTCAAGGTTGTCTATCCAGGCCTGTCAGTTAAGTGGGGATGTTATCATGGCTTGTGGGTCTATTAGAAGTCATGTTGGGGCACAGTTGGATGCTCGCGCTGTGGATGACCCTGGTAGCAATTTGGCACCAAGCAAACATGTTGAAATCGGCAGTTTGGCCAAAGGCATCCTGTTAACGAATTAAATTATTGGTAGCAAATTGGAGTTGTGGGTGAGGTTTGTGGTTGGCGGTTAAGGCGTGGGGGAAATCTCTTTTGGTTGGGCGAGGTTGCAGCTGGGGTCTGCAAAGGACGGTGTTTAATCAGAAATCTGGTATGAAGGTGCTGCAAGTTGCTCCCCCACAGAAAGCCATATTCACACTGTAATTTACGATACTCGTTATCATATGCCAAAGCCGAGGTGAGTGTATGGGATTCGAAGCGGTGATGGCGGTAGTGGTTGCTGACAATTTTCCTGTTCAAAGGAGCTCGTGCATAATTTGCGAGTTTGCGGTGACCGACATAGAAAGGGTGACATGTTCTAATTTTGGTTTTCCCTTCGCTGAGCGAATTACAATTTTTGCCCCACTAGAATTATTTCCAGTTTCTTGCTCTTCTTCGCAATTGTCATAAGTTCCCTGGTTTACAAAATCTGGTATTAACAGAGGTTTCTCACCTTGTTTAGCGCTTGTTCCTTTTTGCTGCAGGCCAAGGAACACATGCGGATCCTTATCTAGTCGGGGAAGAGTTGAAGTGTTTAACGCTACTGGTTTTGTCGAGGAAAAGTCGGTGCCTGCACTTCAAATTTTCTTCAGAATTTCTTCCAAACCTCCATCGCTCGCTAGTGACTTTGTAGTCATTGGATCGCTCGCACCAGTAGCATCTCCCGGCGAGGGTTTTTTGTTTACATCCTTCTGCAACTTTTTCAGTGCAGCTTCGAGAACGCATTTCTGCCCTATGCTCAGCCCCAAGTTCTCTAAATTCATCGGAGTGAAGAGTTGTAGGGCTTTCTTGGTATCGAGATCCTCTTTCTTGAGGATATCCACACTCGCTTCTGTAAGTTTAGTAGCCGTCCATCACATGTCAAAATTAAAGCTTGCCATAATTGTTGGCACAGACAAGAAAAGCTTACAATCGTGTTCATTGCATCATCTGGGTAGAATCGCATAATGACTCACGTGGGAGCAGCTTGCATATGTACATGAGCCTGGCGCTGAACTTCTGTCACATGTATTTAATCCTGATAAACAAGTTTATCACTCACCCCACACACTATGCACAGCAATACTCTTACCTTACATAACTTAATGCTTTAATTTCCTCACAAAGAATCAAAACCCAACTAAATCAACTTTAAAATACATCCAGAAACAATTTTTGAATAAATTACTATACTTTTGAATAAATTACTATTACTAATACTGTGATATTAATAGATAGTCATAAGCTTTGGTCCCACTGAAATATGTAAAAATGAAAGATTTAGCTGAAATCAAACAACAAGTGAGAAATTTAGCGATGCTTACAAATAATATTTAATAAGGAATACATCATCTACATACCCGAGAGAATCCTGGGGAATCCTGGAAATGTCCTTTCCAGCCAGGTAAAGCAGGTATCCATTGCACTTTGAGTAAAGAAAGCATCTTGTTTGGGGTCATCAGACCACAAATCTAAAACCTCACTGCTTTGTTCGTGTTTACCTAATCTGGTGACATCATAACAGCCATGAAGCAATAACCCCCTTTTGCCATACCAGTCTGTCTCGCTGAATCTCCTGCTCCGTATTCCCAGTTCCAGTTTCATTTTGTAGTCAATAACTTTAACACAGTCTCCACGTCTCAAATTCTTCTGTACAAACTGGTAACATTCACCTTGATGTTTGGTGCAAAGCA